TATTCAGAAGCTAGTTTTTTTTTCGTTTTTCGAATGAATTTGTGCTCTCTCTTGAAAAAAATCGCAGCTGTGTCACCTCTCGCACGCGAAACTGTCAATCCACATGAATTTTTCAAAGAAAAATTCGATATCTAACTCCCTCTCTGGCAATGGAGAAATCACCTAGTGAGAGTCATGATTTAGAACTCGTCAAGAGTAGTTTTTCCTTTAAATTTGAGTTTCGAGAATGAAAAGAATTACGATGGTCGTACTTCGAGGTGTGCCTTGGAAGCAGACATCATCTTCAAAGCAACGAGCTTGTAACCACGCTCTTCGAACCGTGCGATAATCTTTCCAACAAGATTTCTGCAAATTTTAGGATTTAGTCGCTTTTCCATAAGGAAGTTGATTCAAAATACCTCTGAACGCCATCGGGCTTTACGCAGATGAATGTCCTCTCGTTTACAGACATTGTAGGAGGGCAGGAGTCCTTGGAGCAGCTGTCGTCACTGAGTCTAACTACCGGAGTAGCTGTGGCAAGCACCAGCAGAAGTGAGCGCAAACTCATTTCCAAAGGGGCGGGAGTTGAGCGCAGTTACCGTAGACCGGAAAGCAGTAACCACCGCGGGACCCGGCCCCAATTCAAAACTCGGAACTTCGCCAGCAACTCGCCGAATCTGTCAGCTGCTTCGTCACGATTTCGGTGTTCTCTCTTTTTTGATTACTCTCGTCTGTGCAACGGGTAATTCCTGGTCGTAATCAGCAAGGAACTTTGGGGTCAAATTCACAACCGCGTGAATCAGTCGAAGTTATTTTGTTCCTCAAATTAATTAGCTCAATGAATGTGCGTTGTAGCTACCTTGTATGAAGAAAAGAACGTGTGCTGTGTATCTCACTTGATGTGGATTTCCATATTCACGGAAATAAGAACTTTTTCAACCTATTCCTTGATGTTTAGTTCACAAGCTTTATGGCTTTATTCTCCACCCCTGAACATCTATTTTGAGGAGCATACCTTGGAATAAGTTTCAGTTTTAAGGCTACTGGTTTATCCCAGAGTTAAACTTGCTTTTTTGTTGTATTTTTGGGTATGTGCCCTCAGGTAGATTTCTTTTGACCTCAGTCTGATGAATACGGCCGTTGTTCGCTGTGTTCTTTTTCG